CTTTGTTGTGAGTTATTATAAAATAAGATAAAAAAAGAAAAGGACTCCTCTCTGTACAGGTGAGAAGAGGGCTTTGTGCTTCAGGTGGTTCCTCACAGTCTTCAGAGTGCAGAAACCCAATGGACTGTCAGGAATTGAGCTAAAAATATCTGTATGAAAACCTAAAGCTGATTAGCTTGTAAACTGTCACTCCAACCAAGTTTATAATAACACACAACAAAGCAAAGCAGCAGTACAGTGTTAATGCATCAGTGCAGTACCATTCCAGTGCTTTTTGCAGGACAAGGCCTGGGAGGGGCAGACCCATGCTGGCTGACTCTGACAATGCTCAGTGTAGACCAGACATCGTTGCTGTTTCCTGGCTTCCTACATACCTGCACATACCATTCTGCATGATTTACATTACTTTTGGTAATCTCCTGTCTTTTTCAAGACTAGCAGGACCTGCTCTTGTGTGAGGGTCGTTTACTTGAGCCAGCCGGACTGTTCCCTGTGGAGCAGTGCAATCTGTTCCTGGACCTTGAAAGCCATTCATTTATGCCCTATAATTCCTCTACTTGAATAGTGAGTACACTCCTAAAGAAAAACCCAAGACACCGTGCAGTAACAACTAAAGTTCCAAACAATTGCTGTAGCATGCTAGCTGCTTTCTGCCCCCTGGTCTTTTAACATCTTGCACAGCAGAGACTGTATGGCTGAAGCTCACACCAGCACTCTTCAGAAGAGGACAATAAATTTAATTAGTCCTTTCTGTAGAGGAGGAACTTAGGCTGGGACAACTCTGTAGGACTTTATCTATGCAGTAACTCCATATTCCAACGATAGCTCAACTTTGAGATCTAGATTCAAATCCCACGGCTGTGTCACCAATACCTGCCCTAGGATGACAGCTGGTGTGCAGCTCCTGTCCTCCTTGTACCCTGGTTTCCTCAGACATTAGCTGGAAAAGAGCACATGCGCACTTCAATAGGAACAATGAGGAACTGGCCATGAGGTTTGCTGAAGAAAAAAGCTTTGCAAGACTGGGCCACATGAACTTGTGTTTTCTTGAAGACTTTGGTCTTTATGTGGTAATGCAAAAAAACCACCACCACCAACAACAAAAAACTTTTGCGTTTGCCTATAGTTTGTAAAAGAAATGAATTAAAAAAAAAAAAAAGGTTTTTTGGGCACTAACATTTCTTATTTAGAAGAACAACATCTTTTCTGTCTTTTCTATCATCACACATGCTTTTGACATCCAACTGCTGAAATTCAGCATTTCCGTGAACACCAGAGTGTAAAATCACCTGTTCAATATTGGTTTTCATAAGAGCTTAACGTTTTGTTCACTGAGATTAAAACAAAAATATCCAAATAACACCTCCATACTAATGGACTGCACGTTCCCTCTTTGGATGTGTCCTTCCTGCTGGATGTGTGACAGAAAAAGCATTTTAGATTTGCTTCCTCCTTAAAACCATGGAAATAACACATCAAAATTGATGACTAAAAGTTTCATTTTGTAAAATATGTGGAGTATCACCAAATACGTTTCTGGTTGTGCAAATCTAGTCAAGTGAAAGAAACAAAATACTTGTCATCAAACATATATGAGTTTATTAAAGCATGTTGCCATATTTTAAAAGTGTCATGGTTTCATAGCTTCTTGTATCCTTCCGTTCTCATCAGTGTGCCCTCATGAGAACCCAAAGCAGCTGTTAAGGAAAAAAAAAAGCATCTGTACTGAATCTGTACTGAAGGAAAAAAGAAAAGAATCTGTACTGAAAGAATTATGGATTGTACTTTCCAAGGTTACAATCATGTGAAAACAAATGAACAAACAAAAGAATAAACCAACAAAAGTTGGTATTTACAAAAATGCCTGGAATTCAAATACTCCGAATTTGTTTTATTGATTTAATTACAGAAAACGTAGAACACTCACAGAGTACACTTACATTGACATGCCCCAAATATAAGCCTGGGCTTTGTAACTCACTTGGAAGAAGCTGAAAATTATAATTTTGAGCCAGTCTACTCTTCTGATCTACTAGTCACTACCCAGCCTAGTTTTACAATCAGTATTATTGTATACTTGCTTTCTCAGTCTTCTCTGCTTGAATAAAATGTGTAATACAAAAGCATCTCAAATCAGCAAACATGAAAATTTTGTACAGACCATATGTAATACAAATATAAAACCAGGCAAAGAGTATTATACTTGAGACATCTGTAATTCCAGTAATTGTGAATTACCCACTTGTGAAGTATAGGCACTATATACGATATGCACAAATACACACAGGGCTCCATTTCATGCATTTTTTGGACTAAAATGTAACTTCTTTGTCATATACCTTCACCCAAAACTGGTGAGAGTTGCAGTCATATCTGTAATAGTAATAGTGACCAAAAAGGCAGCCCACCAAATATGATCCAGTCCATCATGTCGTCCTTTGGGTTCTAGTGTTTTAGGCACCACCAAGAACAAACCAGAACAGATTGCTCCCCTGGAGTGCAGAAAATACCAAGAAAAGTACGGAGAAAAGGGCTAAAATTTTCTTTGGTGAAAACAAAACCTCACTTTTCTGTTATTTAATTTCTCATTTTTGAGGAATATTCTTCCTTTTTCAGTGCCCAGCGATACGGCTGGGAGCTTGTGGAGTGAATGATGGGTTGAATATGGTCTTATCTGCCATCCAGTTCTACTAATTTCTGCTACCACTACTGAGAGAAGTATGGGGCCTGCCTCATCCTCTGTGAAAACTACCATTGCAGCCCCATTTTTTTTCTCCTCAAGATATTAGGAAAATAATCTTGGTTGTCTGGGTTTGGTGGGGAAAAAGTGTTTTCAAGTTTCTGCCTGCCAACAGAAGCACACACATTTGTACAGCCAGATGGAACCACGTCAGGAGTCCCATGTGGTGCCAGGGGAACAACTGGATGTTGGGATCCAAACAGCTGAGGAAAGTGGAGCAGATGGGGAGAACAGAGCATAACAGATGAGAGGAACAGAGCATCACACAGATGCTGGCTGAACAGGAATGGGTCTCCTTTTGGTTTCACCACTGTAAATGCAAGACACATAAAAGAGGTCTTCAGGATTTTGATAACACAGCAAAAACTACTCAGGGATCTTCAAACCAGGTACAGCACGGTCTCCACACAAAGACAGAACAGGATTATTTAGAAGTAGTAGGAACTATTTTTGGCTTGGCATGCATGGCAGTAGAAGCAAACTCACCTTGAGTGCTTGACAATTAGGTAATGTAGTGTGGTGACTTTATTGTAGTTTACTGCCATTTTCACAGCCCACATTGCCATCATCTGTCACAAATAAATAACTGGCAATTTTTATCTACATTCCCAGCAAGCTTAATTCCCAAAACTGTGTCTTGGAATGTACTGATTCTACCATCATTACCAAATAGTAACATTCCCCCAGATCGATGGGGCTATTTACTTAGAAACCAGATGCAGCTTGATACTAGCTGTCATTGTGAAGACAAAAAGAAGAGATACAACTATTTCCCACAGTGATTCTGGGAGTTGTGATGAGTTCTCTTCGTGTGTCTGTTTGCAATAATGCTGAGCTAATCAGAACTTACCGTCCGACTCCCTACCCCTCAGACCCAGATGCCATTGCCTGTCTTACATGAGCTTGGCTGCTAAGTGGTGCTCTGGATCTCATTTTAATTTTGAGAGATGATAGTGCCAAGCAATGGGGATTGCATCCTTTTGTCTACAACATTCTCAGTGTCCATTTTTGAGGGAAAGTGTTGGGAACTGAATTCACTGTGATATCACATGGTGGTCATGCATTGACAGTTGGACTTAAAGGTCTTTTCCAACCTCAATTCTATAATTCTGTGATACTGATATACGGCAGTATTTCTTTAAATTAGTTACAAAAATTAAAGACAGGTGGAACAAATCAAACAAAAATGCTGTGTAGCCTCCATCAACATGAAGAGGAGATGTCACCCTAAAATTCAAACACCTCAGTCCACATACACACATGGGCAGTAGTATGTCGTGGACAGAGGATTTGCCTTTTCAAGGGCTGTTACATTTTGTCATTAAATTGTCCTAGTCTGGTCAGTGAGGACTTTCTTCCAACTCCTTCCTGTTGGTATTCCAGACCAAATTGTGATCCTGCTTTTGCATTCTCTTTCTGTGTGTGAGAAGTTTTAGGCGTGAAATGCTAGAGAGCAAGGTTAACCCCATGTAGGCCAACTCTGCCATTTGTACTGCTTGGCATGAGCAAGTAGCACACGTATTGCTTCAGAAACAAAAAATAAAATGAAGATTAAATTCTATTTAGAAAAATAATCGCTTTATTATTGTCATGCCTTTCTGATCAGTTGCCCAAGCCCTAAATACCTTTCACACAACAACTTACAGGCTGCAGAATAGCTCACCAAGCAAGGCAACACGTGTAGGCCTGTGGCCATCCTTGTCCCTCCTTGCTGCCATGGCCGGTGCCCGTGCCCAGCCCCAAGTGCTCAGGCCCACCTGCCCAGGGCCTCAGGTGGGCACGGGAATGAAATTGGTGGACTTGGAGTGGGGAGACTCCCTCCAGGTGTTCAGGCTGTGCGTCGGGCTCCGGTTGTTGGTGAAAGAAGTCTGTCGCCTGCTGTTGCTGTTTGAATCCTCCTTGCTTAGCGTCTGCCTTATCTTTTGGCAGCAAGGGAAGCTCTGCACACAGTCCTGTAGGAGGTGCCCGCTGAAGAACATGTAGATCCAGGGGTTGCAGCAGCTGTTCAGGCTGGCCAGGAGGGCGGTGACGGTGGTTGCAGTGTTTTCAGAGTCTGTGGGAGGAAAGAAAGAGGTTTAGCCATCACTGAAACATTCTCAGCCTTCCGTCAATTGCTTTCTTAACTCTTAAATTTTTTTAATTTGCTGAATAATCCCACTCCTACAAGGTACTGACCTGAGCAACAACATTTGAAAATAATAATGAGGGTGTAATAAGGGAAAGTTCTTACTTACATGTAGCCCCCGCTGAAGTCTATAGGAATCTGTCTGAACAGGTGCAAGAACCTGATAGAAGTACAAGGCAATCCAGTACAGCCCGCAGGCACAGGATAATGCTTCAGTCCATTTCCACTGATGATAAGTCTGTGCTTAATACTGAACAGTTTTTACTCTGATTTTTTTTTTTTTTGCCTTAAAAATTGGCTACCTTGGGCATCAGTGGCACTATCCCCACTGATTCCCCCCTGCTTTCAATTATACCAGATTTTCCTATGCACTTCTGCATGCTGGAAATAGTTATGAGCTCTGTAACTGGCAGCTTCCAAATCAAATTCCCATTTCAGAGGTTGAACACATTTTACTGAAGGAACAAATAGAAGCGAGCACTGTGCCACCAGTTATGGCCTTCTGCATCTACTCATCAGTTAAACTACCAAGCACTGCATACACATGGTATAATCAGTTCTTCCCTTTGTAAAGACTTATTCTTGTGATTTTGAAAGTTAAAAAAAACAACAAACAAACCAACAAAACAACACAAGCCTCTATTTCACTGCATGACCCTGCATCCCTGGCATGACTTCAGTCTCACCTTAGTGGCAATCAACGTCCTCGCTACAAAAAGTGACAATTTGGGGATACTAAATAAAGCGAAATTATGGCTTCCAACATCTTGATTTGTATTTTTTTCACCGTGAGGAAACAGGTGTGTGTTCCTGTGCTGCCTGTAAACCCCCACCTAACTGTTTTAAGCTCGGCAATTATTTCCAGCTGGAATTAACAGAGGGATGTGCAGCTCCAAGCCTCGGAATTCCACTTTTCTAAGGCACTTGAGGGGTGACCGGCAGAGATGCTCACCGCTGAGCACTCTGAGGAAAGGCTCAGGACGCGCTCAGCCACATTATTAGACAGCAGAGAATGCGTACGGGAGGCAGCTGCCGGGGAGCGGGCGTAGCGCGTTCTCCGCCCGCACTGGCACTCGCGACGGTGAGTACATCGCAACACACCGTCCTGCAGCCTCCACCCGGCTGTGCAGCGCCCTCCGGGAGCCCCTCGGGCCCCGAACGCCCCTGCAGAGCGGCGCCCCGGCTCCGACGTGCTCCGGGGGAGAGGCCGGAACCCTTCCTGAACCCCGACGGCAGCCGCGCCGCGGTCCCCGACGGCACCTACCGACCCAGGAGAAGCGCTGGTCCCAGACGGACCACATCTGGATGGTGAAGAAGGGCGCCCAGCAGACGATGTAGGCCGAGACGATGACGAAGGTCATCTTGACGGTGCGGATCTTGGCGCGGGAGATGGTTTTGACTCCGCTGACGCAGGGGGCGAGGAGCAGCCCCCGTCGAGGGCCGCCGCCCGCCGCCTCCCCGGGGCGCGCTCTGCCGCGGGCGCTGCGCCAGATGCGAAAGCAGATGAAGCCGTAGCAGGTGGCGAGGATGAGCACGGGAGCCACGAAGATGCCGCCGGTGATCCAGGTGACGTAGGCGCGGGGCCCCCAGGGCATGATGAAGTGAGCCCAGCAGTCGTAGACCCGCGAGCCGCGCTCCACCTCGCTGAGGCTGAAGATGAAGTACTGCGGGGTGCTGAGCAGCAGGCTGAGCCCCCAGGCGGCCGCGATCATCGCGTAGGAGCGCTTGGTGGGCTGCTGCAGCGTCTTCAGCGGGTGGCACACGGCGATGTAACGGTCGGCGGTCATGGCTACCAGCATGTACGCCGAGGCGAACATGCCGAACACCTGCAGGTGCTTGACGACGCGACAGAGCCCGTCGGGGCCGTGGAAGCGGTGCGTGACCTCCCAGCAGAGCTGCGGCAGCACCTGGAAGAAGGCGACCACCAGGTCGGCCAGGCTGAGGTGCCGGATGAAGAGGTGCATGCGGGACGCTTTGCGCGGGGTGCGCCGCAGCGCCAGCAGCACGCTGCCGTTCCCCAGCACCGCCACCGCGAAGGTGACGGCCAGCACGGCGATCTCTAGCTTGGCGAGCTCTTCGTCCCGCCCGAACGGGTCCCACTCGCCCGCGCTGCCGTTGGGCGCCCGCGACCAAGCCTCGGGGCTGGGGCTGGGGCTGCTGCCGCCCTCCGCAGCCCCCCGCCACCGGCTGCCGTTCGCGGGGGGGCCCGCCGCCCGCGGGCTGCTGCCGCTGCCGCCGCCGCCGCCGCCTCCGAGCCTCATGGACGGGGCTGCGCGGCGGGGCTCTGCTCGCCTGCTGCCCGCCGAGCTCCGCCGGCTCCGCGCCCGCCGCCTTTATCCCCGCGGCGGGGGGCGAGGCGGGGGGAGCTCCCGTGCCAGTGGCTACTCGTCGCCTGACGCAGCCCTCCGCCACGCCTCGCCTCGTCCCCGGGGCCGACGAATGGTTGTCGTCTCGGACCTCCGGACGGGACGGCAGCCTTTCGCCGGCCTACGATGTTAATGTGGACGATGCGAAGTTATCCTCTGGAATGAAGGAACCTGCCATAGAAGATAGGTCTTCAGGAGTACCCCACGGGATTCGGTTCTCAGTTGCGCATTTCACTGTCGGGAAGTTTTGAAATGTAGTCAGAAAACTCCGAATCTTATTATTCTTTTTTTTTGTTCTTCCCTTCCCTTCCCTTCCCTTCCCTTCCCTTCCCTTCCCTTCCCTTCCCTTCCCTTCCCTTCCCTTCCCTTCCCTTCCCTTCCCTTCCCTTCCCTTCCCCTCACAACACTGTATCTGCCCATTCCTGCCGTCCTCTGTTCATAGTGAAGGTTGTCTGTGGTGCCCAGTGCAGCCCTGCAGGGCAGCACACCCGGCTCGGAGCCACGTAGAAGCAGCGCATTATCCTCCTCACTCTCTTTGCTTCCTTGTTTCAGTCTTGCTGACCTGGCTGATGGCAATCAACATTCCTGGGAGCAGAGAGTTCACCGGTTCACACAGCAGCTCCCTGTCCTGTCTGGATTTCGGGGCAGAGAAGGAAACTGGCAGTTAGGAGCCCAATGGGCCCTCACATGTTTGTAACCACACGCTGGAAAATCGCAGTGCAAACACTCACCGTTCACCACTGCATCACGCTCAGCCCTTCAGCACATCCAAGGGACAATAAAAACCATCGAGGCAATTTAACGAGACCCTCAGCTCTCTATCTCCCCTGTAATCTGAGGGATTGTATTCACAGGGGCATAAATCCACTGCGTCATTCAATGCTGTCGTTGGCAGAAAAGGAGAATTTAAAACGGGGTTTTCTTATGTTGCCTGAGTATCCACCTTGTGAAACGGTGCAACCTCAGCCTTTCAGACCTGAGAGAGAATTAACAGACGTACTTTCACAGGTACTGCATCAGTGTTTTTGCTTTCAGCGCATAATCCAAGCTTTTATCTCTTAGTTCTCTTATTTCAGAGAAGTTAAATGCTCTCACTTATGATTTCTCGTGCACCTTCAGCCAGATTTTAAATTACTGCTTTTTGAGGTTCCATGCAAACACATGCTCAGGTCTCCTTCCAGTCTGATAAATGCTTCCACTTGTAGCCTGCTGTATAAATCTGTGTTAACACTTATCTGGTGCCTTTTTTTTTTTTTTTGTTTCTGACAATTTTTGATAACTCTTGTGGCAGTTTAGTAATGATTCTTGTATTAGGAAGCACCCAGCCAAACTAATGGAAAATACATTATAAAGTTTGGTGACAAGACTAATCAGTAAAAGTGAAGTGAATGCTCAGGGGTATTGGCTTGGTTTCTTCTTAGAAAACAGTCCACGTACCCTCCTATGAAAGCATTTAATTCTAGTAAAAATCATGCTCAGGCATTTAAAATAGCAGGAAGGAACACAGACAAGCTGTGCATGACACTGCTTCTGAGGGATATAACTGTACCAACGATGACATGATCTGATTCTCAGAAGGAGCCCAAAATATTTGTGTAGAAGTATTGCATAGAATTGTCTTATTTATCCCAGAACCACGCCAAGAGCTTACTGCACCTGAAGGCAGGCAGGCAGGGTGAGTCTGAGCAGGTGGGTTGGCTGCTGCTTCATAATCTCAACTGTAAGATGGAGACACTCAACATGTATGAAGTAAATGGAATTACACTTCTGCTTGTGCCGATGGACATTTTAGTAGCTCTCCTTAAACATATTCTGAAACATTTTAAGATGTACTGGTTTTGAAATGCTGTATGTCAGTAGTCTTGGTGTCTGTGGTGATCTTTCTGAAGAGGTTGCTGATATGGGATATAGTTGGTTGATGCAGAATATCTGTGCTGCAAATATTGCAGCAGCCACATTCTCACAGGCTCAGAAGTTCAAGGAGGTCTGAGTCCTTCCTAGTTTTATAGATGCTTATGGGACATCCACTTTTCCAGTTTGTCCCTGACTATCCTCTATGGGTTGGTCATCTCAGCAGGAAGCAGAGTCCTCTCTGGAGCAGAGCTAGCTAACAGGTCGGGCATGGAACAGGCTTCCCAAGGCAGTGGACTCAGCCCCACGCTGATACATCTCAAGGAGCATTTGGACAATGCTCTCTGTCATAGGGTTGAATTTTTGGGTTGTCCTGTATGGAGCTGGAATTAGACTCAATCTGTGTGGGTCCCTTCTAGTTGAGGTTATTCTATGATTCTGTGATTCTAAAAAGAAATGTTAGGGAATAGGAGGAGCTAGCAAACCATCTAGCATGGCAAGAGAGGAAATTCACCCCCAGAAGATACAGCCAAGATATGAGCCAAAGTGCTTAGTTTTGTGTCCAGTGGATAAACACTTTCAATGTCTTCTTAGTATTCTTCTTAGTGCATTGCCAACAGCAGGTCTGGTAGTCCAAGTGAAATGATTTGTTTGGACTACATAAGGTAGGTTGTATAAGGAGAAACAGAGGTAGGTGTGTGTAGCAGAATAGCCAGAGCCAAATCATTATACAGAGAGGGAGAGGAGTTCAAACCAATTATAGAGATAGAGGCAGCAGGTATAGGCATTTCTTGAAATTTTCTTAGGCTTCTGGCAAGATTTATGTACAAAGGCAAACAAGAAGATTTTAGTTGCATTTGCCAAAGCCCTAAATGAAATCATCTTGTTTCTTACTGCTTATGATTTGCTCTGAATCCCTTCTAATGTGTATGAAAATCACTGTGTTCCACACTTCATTGAGGGAAGTCCTGGGAATTACCAGCAGAGAATGAATAATGAAGTGTACAAATATGTGAACGAGTAGCAATGTCAATCGGAAGCAGCCTTCAAACACAAGTTAATGTGATCTAATCTGATCTCCTTGTACTCATGTTCATGCTGAGGTCAGAGCCTGAATAGATTGGATAATCCAAATGAGAAAAAAATTGTTTAAATTGGCTGCTGTTGCTTTATTTTGGTTCTTTCTGCTCTCCTTCTATAATGTTGCAATAGAGCTGTAGGTTTTATTTTTAACATTTATGCCTTCACTTCTTAGAATCTTGATTTTCTCTCCTTTCAACCTGAATAATATGGGTCACCTCTATCTTTCTTATCTTAAGTAATCTCAAGGAAATGCTTGTTGCTATTCTGAACAAGTCAGCATCCTTCATCCCTTTCTGTTGTCACTGCTACCGCCACCACCATCCCCATTATGAGAGGAGATCTGGTGAAAGAGAGATGATCTGATCTTCCCCAGGAGGCTGAGTCTGCTGTTCTGGGGCTGCTGGAGTTCCCTTCCACAGAACACTTCTGTTCTCCAGACTACTGCCAGTAGAGCAATTAAACTGCCTATTACATTAATAGTTTCAATTAGAATTATAATCTATTTCTCTTTAATATTCATGTTGGTTTATACTAATATTACTTAGTTATTAATTCCCTGAGCTGATTAGGATGAATAAGCTGCCATTTTCAGCTCTTGGATGTGGTACAACATCCTTAGCTCTTGTAAGCTCCTGCTTGCATGTGGCTCAGTGCAGCACCAGAGTCTTCCCTTCTGGTGCTTCATTATTGCCTTGTGCCTAAAAACAATTTCAGAGCTACAGAACCAGGAGACACCATAGCAGCAGAACTCAGCAGCTTTATAAAGAAGTGTGTTTTGCCTCACCCCTGGATAGGCTGTAAACTCTTAGATAGCTACATAAGATAACAAAAGTCAGCAAATTCAGAAAATGGGTTTTCAAGGAATCTAGAAATGTCAAGCTGCCACCTTATGGACTAAAGCAATAAGATAACCAAGATCCCAATTAATTTGGTGTTTGTGTAGCAAAATAATCTAGCCCAACAAGTGATTAAACAATTTAAATGCATGTCCTGTTGCATTAGAGATTAGTGAAGGGCTTCAGAAGAATTTTTTTTTTTTTTTTTACTGGGAATTGTTACAGCTTTGCTCTCAAAAGGAAGCCTTAGAGAGCTTTCTGAAATTGGTTCCTAACTGAGGAACCAAGAGCTGATAAAGCAAGAGGTACAGATGAATTTACCAAGTAATTGTATAAAGAAGGTTTGGCCATCCAACTCACAAGTTATTATGTATATGCAACAAGTTTGGGAAGAATAAAAGCTTAGAGAAGCATAGTTTCAAGTTTCAAATCCACGGTTTATAAGATAGTCTAATGTCATCTCTGTCATTAATGAGGCCCTAAAATAGTAGCTACTATTTTGGTCTTTACATAAAATATGAAATAATTTTTGTTCTTTAAAATAACTTGATGCTTGTCATTACTACATCGCTAGATGTGATTTAAGTAGCTATGTGCAGCACTGAAGACTGTTGCTGAAGCTCTGAATGGGAATATACAGTAAGTTCACATATACAATCTGAGAAATATTCTCTTTAGGAAGGAGTGGGACCTTTTCATTAAAATATTCCGTGGTTGATGTCTGACATGGGCTATTTACTGGGAAATGTAAGCTGATGTTCATCTAACTCTGTTTTTCTGCTATCCTGCAATAAACTGTACGAATGCTTGAACATTATAACTTTTACTTCGTGATTTTTGATAGCTTATTTAATGCCAAGTAATTCCAAAAACTTTTAGCTTTGTATTATACTAGGATGAGCTAAATATCAGGAAGGCAACATTTCCTTTTCTCATAAAACTTGCTGACGTATATACGCTTTAAAATCAGCTTTTATGACACATTTTGATGTTACTTTCCATATCATACTCTTTTATGGTATGTTTAGAGAAATATATTGGTAGAGAACATTGGTTTCATAAAACTAAGAGACATCTTCATTTGCAAATGGATTTCAACCTGCAAGTAGATAGTAAATCAGTTAA